ATATATATTTATGAAAATTACACAAAAAATATCTTGAAATACTAAAGAGTATATTTATTCAATACAATTGCCATTAGCTTCAACCACAGCCTCCAGATGACTTCAGAATATCCTGCAACTCTTGTGGATGGTGAATGCAGCCATAATCCTTGCCTTCAGTACATCTTTGGTGTTACAAGGAGTTTTGTTGGTCTCTCAAGGGGGTTGCAGTCTGGAGAGTTAGGTGGACAGATGTAAGGGGTGATGTGGTCGCAGAAACTGTCTGACAGCCACAACTGGGTTCTCCTGCTTGTGTGGCATGGTGCAGAGTCCTGTTGCCAGACATAGGGTCTTCCAGCAGCTACCCTCTTGACCCACGTCAGTGCTATATCCTCAAGGCACTTGATGTAGAAGTCTGTGGGAAGATGAATTGAGGCATAACATCTCTGTCACTAGTGATCATTTCAAACACCTTTGTAATCACCATTAGACTCATCCAACTCTTTCACAATCTTCTGCACTGTCCTCAGATTAACTCCCAAACACTCTGAAATGTTTGTACTAGAGCTTCTGGTATAAATGCCAAGGAGTACAGCATGCCATTTCCAAATTTCTGGCAGAGTGAATGGTGTCATGGTGCTCTTTTTCTCACAGACGGTGCCCAACTGACCTTACTATACTATGCAGTTGACAAAATCAAAAACAAATAACATGAATGTGTAAAATTAAAAATATAAAATACCAACAATTAACACATTGCACCCTGTATTTGATTGCATATAAAAACCTAATTTGTTTCTGCAGTGAATATTTAAAAAACATATTCAATAGTACATATAATGTTACTGGTGTTTTAGTCGTGTTTCTAATTTGGCTCCATTCAAAATAAGTTTCTTTTCATGGATTTGTTACAAATTCCTGAAATAATAATATTTGGGGAAGAAAATATCCTATTAAGTTCTGTTGTTAAATTATAAATTTATATGCTATTATATTCTTTTGAAAAATACATATCTGTTGCATAAAATAAATTTTAATATACACTTTTGATTAAAAACCAATGAATGTTCTTTGTTGATTATCTACTTTTTTACTTATGTGTTGTGTTCTTTCAGGATGCAGGTGATCATGGCTCTCCGCAATTATCTGTCCTTCATAACTCTTAATAAATTTTGTCTTTTTATTATTTCTCTTAAACCTTGTTCCACCATCCATTTATTCAATCTCACTAAGTATGTTATATGTTGTTTTCCTCTGTCTTTCTTGCCTTCAATTTGTCCTATGAGTATCAAATTTCCCAAGCCCTCTTTCCTCATCATGTGCCCTAGAAATTTCAACTGTCTCTTCCTGATAAGTATAAGTTTCTTTTGTATTATCATTTTCTCTAAAACTTTGTTGTTGCTCCCATGTTTGTTCTATGATATCCTTAGCATCCTTCTGTAGAAGCATATTTCTGTTGCTTCAAGTTTTTTTCTTCATCTGTGAGGAGATTATCTAGCATTAAATACGATATAGGAGGACTGATATTACGTAACAGTTCAGTACTCTTCTCTTTGAATTTTTTACTTATTTTTCGATAAAAAAAAAAAAATCAATGTAGAACTTTCATTGGTTTTTAATCAAATGGGTATGAATTAAAAATTTCTGTCCAAATACAGCTGATACATATTTATATTTTGGATATGAATATAAAAAGTTAGCAGATATGGGCTCAAAAATATATATATATATATATATATATATATATATATATATATATATATATATATATATATATATATACACACACAGAGGGGAGATAGTACAGAAATAGTTATTGTATAGACCAAAAGAAAAAAAAAAAAAAATAATTGTTTGGTTAGATTAAGGGGAAGTAGGTTAGGTTGAGAACTTTTCAGCACTCTTTCATATAATACACACAGGTTGAAAAAGCTAACATTGAAATGTTTATATATAGAGAAAAAAAGGGTTATTTATTTTATCTTCTATGTGACGGGGCCCAAGAACTCCCACCCACCCATTTTTGACTTCAAAAAGTAAATCTTGTTTTTAATTATTTTAAAATAAAAAAATGTGTAACATTCAGCTTATATAACATGAGTAATTTTTATTATACTTTTTTTGAGGGGTCAGAAATAAATAGCACATTTAACACCAGAATATATATATATATATATATATATATATATATATATATATATATATATATATAATTTATTTATTTAAAATATGATTCCAAAACGCGACATAAGAAGTCTCATGTTTCAAAACAAAGAGCTGAAAACTTCAATATAATTATTTAAATTAAATTGAGTTAAAATAAGCTCTGTTCCTTCTTCAAGTGAAATTTTTTAAAAATTTATTTTTATTTTAACTCAATTTAATTTAAATAATTATATTGAAGTTTTCGGCTCTTGTTTTGAAACATGAGACTTCTTATGTAGCGTTTTGGAATCATATTTTTAAATAAATAATTATATTTATGCTCTACTTTTGTATCGAGCACTATTTTTTAAAAATAATAACTAAAATACTAAGGGACTTTGGATTATTTACCTAACCAGTTCCTTCCTATTTTCTATATTTTTCATTTTCATATATTATATATATATATATATATATATATATATATATATATATATATATATATATAATTAGCCTATTATAATTGTATTAGATTTGAAGAAACAACTTTTCTCTTTGTTTTGTTGATAATATAGTAAATTTTTTGTTAATAAGTTTTTTTTTTGTTTTGTTTTGTTTTTCCATTACAGGTGAAGCAAAAAATCTGCCGACACATATCTACTCATCAGGTGGGGGTAGGAATACACTGTGCATCGTGAAATTAGACAATGAAGAAATATTCCGGACACAAATTGTAGACAAATCTTTGAAGTGAGTAAACACTATGTATCATGTTTATTTTGTTTGCTTGTTTGTTCAGAGTCGGGATGTTTTTTTTGTTTTTTTTCTTATTAAAATATTCTATACTCTATTATTTATTAGTAATCTATTTAGAAATATACCAGATAACATTTGTATTTTTTTTTTGAAGAATTTGTAACACATTTTTTGAATGCTCCAAAATGAGTTGTCAGCAATGTTTTCTTGGCTTTGTTAAAAGTTTTGGGTTTTCTGCATCAGTTTTCCACCAAATAACACAACTTGTGTTGATCAAGTACAAACTCTCATCTCGGTGGTTGCATGCTATATATTTTTCATAGTTTTTAATGTTTTGTATTAATGCCCCCCCTCCCCGGATTTGTTTCCCCCCCCTCCCCTGGTGTTAATGTCTTTTCCTCTTGTTTTGATTTAATGTCTTTTCCTCCCATTCTGTTTTAATGCCCCCTCCATGCCCTGTTTTATTGAAAGGTTTTTGTTTTGGTGTGGTTTTGGTTTTGTTTTGTTGTCCGTTGAGTTTTTGTTTGTTTTTTGTTGTCTGTTGAGTTTTTGTTTGTTTTTTGTTGTCTGTTGAGTTTTTGTTTGTTTTTTGTTGTCTGTTGAGTTTTTGTTTGTTTTTTGTTGTCTGTTGAGTTTTTGTTTGTTTTGTTGTTTGTTTTGTTGTTTGTTTTGTTGTTTGTTTTGTTGTTTGTTTTTGTTGTTTGTTTTTGTTTTGTTGTTTTTGTTGTTTGTTTTTGTTTTGTTGTTTTTGTTGTTTGTTTTTGTTTTGTTGTTTTTGTTGTTTGTTTGGGTTTTTCCCCCTTTTTTAAGTGTTTTGACTGTTTTGTCATTGGCCAATGAAATTATTCTATACAAGTATATTACTACATGGATTTATTTCTTCTGGTTTCTTGAGAGGTTATTTCCAGTTAAAGAAATGAAAAGGATAGAATATTAACTGTTGCTAACTTAATCAATTGATGTGGTTATCTTTGATTTTTAGAACTTATGTTGCATGATGCCTGGTTGCTGGCCTTAATTATAAACCTCCATTCTTTTACTGGGAATATAAAGATGATACTGAATATGTTCTAAGTGGTTGGTGAAACATACAATTTGATTTGCATTTCAATTAACAAGAAATATTGTTGGATTATAAATAAAATCCTTTAGAAATTACTTTGTTTACAGTTTAACGAGGGAAATAACATTTCCTATATTAAAACTCCCAAATATACAAGCCAGTAAATATAAATTTACTGTTTGAAGAACAACACATTGCTGTTGTCTCTTTGTGCCTTATTGTTAAATATTTTCATGGTAATTGTTCGGATGAGCTCTTAGCTATGGTACCTAAACTGTATGAATTTAAGCGCAGTACTAGACTGGCGGTGAGATCCCATCAATTTACAGTTGAACTTTCTAGATGTAGCTGTAACTTTTATGCTGACAGTTTCTTTTCTCACACCTCTTGTCTGTGGAACTCTCTTCTGGCTCCATGCTTTCCAGTCAACTTTAATCTGCAAAAGTTTAAATGCAATGTCAATTGCTTTTTACTGTCCCCCTGATTGCTTTTTCTTTTTCCTTATTACTAATGTTTCTGTTCCTAATTCCTCCACACCCTGTAACCCCTTGCATGCAAGAGGCTGTACTGCGTTGCTTGGGGAAATAGATTTTTAAAAAAAAAATAAAAAATAAAAAAACAGCAATGATGTCTACTCACACATCTCCACTAAATATAATGTTTAAAGTAACAAGAAATATGTATTTTTTATTAGCTGTTTCTTTATAAGGAAACATTCGATTTCCTCTTGACTCAGGTGTCTCAATTAAAAAGTAGAAATTACAGCAAAATATCCATATTTATAAGTTATCAATATTAAACTTTAACTAGTAGTACCTTTGAAAATGAATCATAATTAATAAGCTCATTGCTAGTTCTGTAACAATAAAATACCTATGGAATTGCATTGTACTGCAATAACAATCATAAGTATGAATGCATGTCATTATTTAAAGAAGTAAGAGGGTACAAATGAAAAGATTTCAAATTTACACATTAAGCATATGAGAGCATTATTACTTCCTCTATTTTTCTCTATCACTTTCTTTTTTCTTTTTTTCCTTTTTTCTTTGTTTTTTCTTTTCTTTGTTTTTTTTTTTTTTTTTTTTTATTGTAACCAAACAGTATCTCTGATATGTCTTTTCCATGTGATCAAAAAAAGATTGAAGGAACAAGCAGAATTATAATTTTTCTTGGGCGTCAAACTTTTCAGTTTTTTGTATAAGGGTAAGAAGAATGGCTATAGCAGTATCATCACCATCATCACATCACATTTGTTTTAATTTCCTGGTAAACTAAATCATTGTAATAAAGAAGCAAAGAGACATTGGCATTTGTTGATATTTATACTTTTTGGATTTTACAAGTGTGTGTGTGTGTATATATATATATATATATATGTGTGTGTGAAATATATAGAAAATAGGAAGGAACTGGTTAGGTAAATAATCCAAAGTCCCTTAGTATTTTAGTTATTATTTTTAAAAATAGTGCTCGATACAAAAAGTAGAGCATAAATATAATTATTTATTTAAAAATATGATTCCAAAATTAATCTCATAAGAGGTCTCATGTTTCAAAAAAAAAAAAATAACTTCAATATAATCCTTTAAATTAAATTTACTAGTATTTAAAGTAAAAATTCAGATTCCATATTCCAAGCGAAAAATTTTGGAATAAGATGGAAATTTATAGTAATTTTACTTTTTAACTTTCAATTTAATTTAAAGGATTATATTGAAGTTTTCGCCTTTTGTTTTGAAACATGAGACCTCTTATGTAGCGATTTGGAATCATATTTTTAAATAAATAATTATATATATATATATATATATATATATATATATATATATATATATATATATATTGAAGGAAAATGTATTTGGCTTTATAATACCCTTATTGATATTATGGTACCAGAAACTTGTGCTTTTTATCATTTCTGATATGCCACTAGATATGGGCAATGAGTTTGATCCTTACTGGGTGCCTCATACTTGTAACTTTGTATCAGACTAGATTAAACATATATATATATATATAGAACACACTTTGTAGCTATTTATATGCCTTTCTGGTCAAAGCAGCATGCTGTTCATTTGCCAAATTAAGAGATTTCCTAGGGAACTAGATGTCTTAACCAACACTTTAATCCACTTGGCCACATGTCACAAGATCAATCCAATCCCAAAAAGTTACATATTCTTGTTCATTGGAAGCAATGGTCAGTTGACATAAATGTGAATAAGACTGGTGAGTATCAACTGATAAGAGTTATCTTCCCTAAGCATAAGAAACAGAGGGAGTGTAATCTAGCCCTATGGATTGAATAAAGGATTTGGTTAGAAATTCTGAGAAGGTTACTGAGTATCACAATGGACACAATAAAGAAATCCAGAAGGTACAATGGCCAAAACATTTAGTATAACAACCAAGATGAGGATAAGAATCTGAATAGCAAGGAATATACAGGGTGCCATTTATAAATTGTTGTCTAAATTACGCAAAAATGAAAATAACACTGATGTCTCATTTTAACAGATACATTTACCAAAATTACACAAAAAATAACTTGAAATAGTAAAGAGTATATTTAGTCAATAAAATTGACATTAGCTTCAGCCACAGCCTCCATATGACTTTAGAATCTCCTGCAGCTCTTCTGGATAGTCTCCTTATTTAAGTTGGTGAATACTGTCATAATCCTTGCCTTCAGTTCATCTTTGGTGTTACAAGGAGTTTTGTTAGTCTCATGCTCAACTGTACCCCACACCCCGCACATAATAATCAAGGGGATTGCAGCCTGGGGAATTAGGTAGCCAGACGTAAGGACTGATGTTGTAGAAATTTCTGACATCCATGACTAGGTTTTCCTGCTTGTGTGGCATAGTGCAGAGTCCTGTTGCCAGATGTAGTGTCTTCCAGCAGCTGCCCTCTTGACCCAGGGCAGTACTACATTCTCAAGGCACTTGATGTAGGCCTCTGTGTTGAGTCTGAGGCCCTCACCAACAAATTTGGGAGTTCTTTTTTTTTTTTATCAGAATGATCAGTGAGTTTTCCAAGCTGCCATATCTTTGTAATCACCATTAGACTGATCCAACTTTTTTCTAAATCATCTGCGCTGTCCTCAGATTGACATCTAAACACTCTGAAAATGTTTGTATAGGAGCTTCTGGTGCAAATGCCAAGCAGTATAGCATGTCATTTCCAAATTTCTAGTGAAGTGAATTGTGTCATGGTATTCTTTTTCTTGCTGAGGATACCCAACTGACCCTGCTACACTGTGCCGTCAACAGAAACAAACAAAACACACAAATCAAATTAAAAATATAAAATGACGACAATTTACCTGTAATAATAATAATTTCTTATCCTGAAAATTCCAACATAAGACCATAAAAAACATTTGGAAGATTTTTTTTTTTTAATTTTTTTTTAATATCACATTAATGCATACCATACAATCTGGTATTAACTATAAGTTATGTTTTTATCATTTCACTCCAAGCAAGGCAATAAAGCCACTAAGATGTAAGAAATTACTGATTGTTAGAGAATATGGAGGAAAAAACATTAGTAAGGAGAGAGAACACTAAAAGTACAAGAATTAAGACAGTAGATAATGTTTGACATTGTTGACTGGAATTTAAGAGACAAGAACAGAATTTTACAAGTGAGAAGTGTTAGAGAAGAAACTGTTAGTATAAAACTTATGGTTACATCTAGTCATTACAACTAGCGAAAAGTATGATGGAAGAAATTTAGTATAGAATAGTATAGAGTTTCTACCTATAACCCATTAATACCAATCATCCCAAAAATGAAACAGTGGTCATTAAATAGGTTAAAGCAAAAGAAAATTAGTAGTGTACTTATAACAATATGTCACGTCATATTAATTTTTTTAAGCAAGTATATATTGGTCATTGACAGCTACTTCTTGTAGTTATTTTACTCTTGTCATCTTATGGCCCACTGTATGTGTGAAGTAGGCAATTACAGGGATCTGGCTACAATTTATTCAATTGTAGTAATCAGGTGTTTTATTGCTAACTTTTTTTTTTCTCTTTATTCATCTTGCTTCTTTATCATTTCTTTTTCAGTATCTTTATATCTGATATTCGTTTTCTTTTTTTTTTTTTTTTAAATATTCCCTTCTATAATAATTTTTCTCTTTCAACAGCATTGTTCTTTTTATCTTCTTTTCTTTCACTATATCTCTTTTCTGCTTTTCTTGTCTCCTCTTTTATTTTATTTTTCTCTTGCATTCATCACCTATATTCTTTCTTCTCTTTATTGTTTTCTTTTAGTCTATATTTTCTTTGTATTAATCTTGCTTTCTATTCTTCTCTACAAACCTTCTGTTATCTTTTGCTAATGTTAATCATCTTTTTCTTCTTTTTTTTTTTTTTCTCTTCTGGTGTGCCTGTAAGTTTTGCAAGTTTTGATCTTCAGTGATTATCCCTCTATAGGGGCCTTGTGTCAGATAGTTAAGAAATTATTAAGTCTATTTCACTCTTTCTTTCCTTCAGCACATTTTTCCCCCTATACTCTATCATGTTCACTCTCTCTCACTTTCCTCACACACTTTCTATGTCACCTTCTCTCTCACACACACACACACACACACATGCACACAACTTGACATGGTGTAATGGTTAGCAAGCTTGTCTTGAATGGTTACAACTGAGTCGTGAGTTTGATCCTCACTGGGGGCCCCATACTTTCGGCCTTGTGTCATATCTAAGCTGCATTTAGAAAGTCACCATACACGAACACACACACACACACACACACAGAGTGTCAAGTTCACATCTATATATACACACACACACACACACACACACACACATTCTCTCTCTCTCCCTCTTAGCCCATCTCCCTGCCACTCTCCTACCCTTCATCCCATCTGTCTGCCACTCCCTACCCCCAGTTGTCTCTCACTCTCACCCCATCTCTCAGCCTCTCATTCACCTCACCCATCACTAACACTCCCACTTCTATCACCCCCTCACTTTCATCTCTCTCTTATTCTCGCAACTCCATCATATTTGCAGTTTTCGTTGACAGGGGTTTTTAAAAATCTTGAACACATGGGAAATAACTTTGGATATTTATTGAAAAATTCGGTACAACATAATTATACAAGTTCACTTATAAAAACAGATTTTTTGTAAAAATATCATTTACGTAAAATATTAATCAATTTATTTAAAATCCTACAATCATAATTTATAATATATTTTTGCTGTACCAGTTTTTTTTTTATCCGATCTTTTTTCTCACACCAACACCCATCAGCTGTGTTGTGTTATTTACTAAGCTTAGATTTGGCATAAGGCACATAGATATGGATCTAATTAACTATTAAGTAGTAATGGTCAACTAGAGAAATCTTGAGCCCTACCAATCAGCTGCATTAATTAGTTTCAATGGATCACTTTAACAGCTGCACTTGTTGACACTACTTAGCTTTTTGCTACTTAATGCCTTCTCTCTCACACACACACACACACGCACACATGATTTTTAAATTGAAGGGAACAATTTTCTTCACTTCATTTCTTGTATAGTCTTCAGTTATCTTTTATCTTTATTTTAAAAATAATTTTCATATTTAATCCAGATGCTGTTTGGGTTGGGTTTAAAGAGGAGTAGAAAAACCCAAAGAATGCGACAGTTTGCATCTCATTTTTGTTTAGGTCATTCAACTTACAGTTAAGCTTATTATAGGGGAACCTTACTATCTCCACTCCCTCTGACTGTCATTTGGAGCTGACTGGTCCTGCCTTTTCCTGACCCTAACTTTTATTTCATTTCCTCTTTACTATGGCAGATTTGCAGTTAACACTGATGAAATACTAATAGCCGAGAGAAAGAGAGAGTGAGATTATACTTTTATCTAGTGACAGAATTATTTATGTTTTTCTGCAAATTTCCCTTTCTATTTTGATTCCTTCCTTTCTTTTCTTTTTCCAAGATCTATTCTTTCCCACTCTCTCCTCTACAAGTCCAGTTCTTTCTTCCTCTATTCTTTTTATATCTTTGTTTTCTACTATTACTACTAAACTTTTCTAA